TTAATGGCCTTCCTGCTCTAACAGGGACGTTTTTTCCTGGTCTCCAACCTACACCTACCTTACTGCAACTTCAAGCCACTGATAAATCCCAGCACGCTGGAAAACGTCTGCCCCAGCTGTCTCCCCCCGGGGCTGGGTCTGCTCCTAAGGCAGCAGCTCTCCACCTCTCTAGATTCAAGGCCTCCCTTAGAAAGTGGCAGCTCTTAGTTTTCACTCGTTTTCTTGGCTTGCGGAAAAATACTAAGAGCAACTTTTCAGTTGCAAAGAGCTCAGAAAGCCCACAGCAAAGTTCCTGTTTGGGTCCATCTTGGGAATCCCATTTGCACAGTGCTAACACGGCATGGCACCAACACGACACCCTTGAAAGGATCCTGCGGCAACCCCCGCTTGAGAGTCGCTGCCCTTAGGTCTTGCTTGCTAAAGCCCTGCTCCCTGCCTCTCCCCGCTGCAGGCTCATGGAGAAGAATAAGCGGGATCGGCAGATGGCCAACAGGCGCAACTGAGCCAGCCGGGGGGCTCTCCGCTGCGGGGGAGCCCGGGGATTCCCACCCACAGGAGATCCAGCCCTCGATCCCAGCCATCCCCGGACAGTCCCCTCTTCCATCTGGCTCGCTGCCCGTCGCCCTGCATTAGTCGGGGGGACGAGACCTCGGCTGCAGGGAGCACAGGACCCGGAGCGACCTGGGCTTGGTTTGGGAGCTCGGGAGCTGCCAGCACCTCCCCTGATGTAACACCCGGGTGTCTCGAGGGGCTCAGGCAGACACCGAGGATGCCGGGAGCAGCAGCCCTGGGGTCCAAGCCACCGTGCAGTCTGGATCTACTCCCACCACACCATCAGTTTTAAAGGCTTCCACCATTGCTGGAGCACCAGGGTGATAGGAGCATGGCAGGCGGGGATGTCTCAGGAGGTCCAGAGCTCTCATTGCCTATGGGTCAAGCAACGGCTGCAGCTCTGTGGTCTCAGCTTTGCAGAGATGCCTGGACCTTGGTGGGGGGGGCCCTCAGCAAGGCCAGGTTGAAAGAGCAATGGTCAGCTCTGGCCCACTCGAGTCCCCCCTCGCTTCCATGAGCTCCCTGGGTGCCCGGTGCTCGCTGCAAGCCTGGCATTTGGCGCTGAGCGTCACGTGCTGCAGCCCTTTCTGCATCTTCCAGGGCCCTAGGACAGCTGTGACCCCCTGCCGCTGCTCACAGGGGGCCTGTGGAGCTGCCCCAGAGACTGCGGTGACAGGCATGTGCTGTGGGGCAGGTACCGTGCCCCATCCCTGCCAGCCTGTGTCTGAGTGGCGGAGAGCAGGAGCCTCCAGGGCTGGGGAGGGCGGCTTTCCAGACCCCGCAGGAGCAAGGCAGGCCCCTTCCCCGCCTTGTGACATCCATGGGAATCCCAGCCGGGCGCTGCTCCTAGCTGGTGCCATCCCTCTCCCACGTGCTTCCCATGCCTTGGGGATGGGGCAGCTGTGGAAATCAGTATCATGAGAGGCACAGAGCAATGCCAGGATCCAACAGTGAAGAAGGAGCGGCGACAAGAGCAGGAGCCCAGCATCCAGCAGGTTTAACATGGCTCATTGTGCGCACATGGGCCAGGCCCAGGACAGCACCATGATGCTGGGCAGGCAGGGACCAGGGGCCCTCGAGGTGGGGAGGCTGCACACTGTGCCCCGAACTGTCTGCTCCGGGGGCTGGGGGCAGCAGAGGTAGAAGCGGGGCCACGGAGGGAGCTCTCCGGGCATCCAGCACAGCAGGAAGATTTGTCCCTGGAGCTCCCCTGGAAACAGCTGGGCTCCCTTTCTGCCACGTGTATATAAGGCAGAGGGCTACGCGTCCCAGCCAGACACAGGCCATGAGCAGGACAAACATCCTGCATGAGGTCTGCCCAGGACAGGGGCTGGGAGGAGGTCGGGAACAGGGGCTCAGTGTGCGGCAGCAGGGAGGTTACCCTGGCACTGGGCACAGGGTGGGAGAAGGAAGGGGAGGGGGGTCCGGCCAGGCCAATAAAGGGATCAGTTCAGCGACGATCCCCGAGTCCCAGCACAAGCAGCTATGTTCAGCCAAGCCAGCGTGCTCTGGGGAGGTACGGCAGGCAAGTCCATCCTCTGCATGGAGCTGCTAGGGAATAGCTGCCACCTACCACCCCAGAGCTGGCTGCATCTCAGGGAGAGCCCTGGCACGACAGCAACGGGGATCAGAGCTCCACTGCACAAGCAAGTGGTGACAGACTCTCCCTCCCCTAGGACCTCACGGGGACAGGGAGAGAGGCCCGGAGAGGAAGGGACATGCCCAGGGGCACTCAGCAAGTCAGTGGCAGAGCCAGAAAGACCCCAGGTATCCTGAGCTCCCCCAGTGGTCCGTGTCAGCCCATTTGAACGGGCAACAGCGGAGGTGTCTCAGGGCCAACTCCAGCCCCGGGGGTAAACACGAGCTGCTGCCGTTGTGCCCCGTTACACCCAGGCTGTCAGCCCCAACCTCCGTCTGGCCCACGCGGAGGGGAAGGGCGGAGGTTAGAGGCAAGGGGCTGCCCTGGGACAGGGAGCTGGCACCCCCAGGGTGTCAGTCAGCCTGGGGGGGCTTGGAGCTGGTCAGGGAAGGGGGCCCGGGCAGCAATATCAATGAAGCACAAGGCAGCCCAGCGCCTGCCGCGGCTCCGGGCAGGCAGGGCTCAGGCCTCTCGCTGTCAGGGCCATGCCGGGGGACGGGGCGTCTGGCTGGGGATCGGGCGTCCTGCCGGGGGATCCGTGTATTCTTTGTATGAAAATAAATCTATTTAGCCAATATTTATACACACCGGCTTCACAGGCCTCATTTCTGCCAGGTTATCTATTGCCCCGTTCCCCGCTCTGGGGTGGGGGAGGCAGCAAAGGGAACCTCCTTGCAACTTGCTCCAGATGTTTTCCAACAGCTGTCTCCAGCCGGGCAGCTGGTCACTCAGGACGGAGAGTCAAAGGTGTCTGGACACGGGGCCAGACTCGCCGCCCCATTGCCTGCCGCTGGCTCCCCAAACCGGGGCAGTGGGTAGAGCACCCGCATTCCCCCGCCCGCCTGCCCCAGGGGCTGCCACCAGCGTCCCCATCCTGGATCAAAAGCCGGGCACCCGAAACCTCCCTCCGCAGCCACGGCCAGGGGGGGGTAGCAGGTGGGCGGCTTCACGAGCCATGCTGCTCGCTTTTCCCCTCCACATTATTCAGGCAGCTGTTGGGGCTGTGGGGCACTGGGCAAGGGAGTCATTAGGGGGCCCTTAGTGGTACTTGGGGAATATTAACCCGCCACACTTGTATCCTGGATCTGTTTAATGGTCTGTGGGGGGAGTCGAGCGCTAAATGCAAACAGAGCCACTTCCCTGCAAGAACCCCCCCCGCCCCCCCCACAAAATGTTTGTTGCAAAC